ATTCAAGATGGCAAAAGTTGCAGATTTACCAAATGATGCAGTTTACTAGAATTGGCAGATATTAGATAGCTAGCTTCCTAATATATTACAAATAAAATTGCAGTCTTTCATCCATCTTGTGTTGACGTAGGCCCAAATATATAAATAACCATTGGTGATGATGTGAAAGGATTCTCATTTGGAAAAGTTTACAATATTCTTGTTCAGTAAAATAATGAGTATGATGGTGTAGTTTAGAGAAATGTTTGGCACCTTTAAGTTCCTAGAAGGACCAGATGTTTCATTTGTCTTTCGTGCTATGATGGTTTACTAACAAATCTAAGGAAGTATTGTATAGCCTAGGCAATGCAATATGTAGATTTTATATTGATATTGTTGAAGATACAACTCACGTGTTGAGGAACTGCCCTCTAACTATGCATTTATGGTTATGAGCAGTGCATACCAATATACGCGAGACTTTCTTTGCAAGGTATGTGCATCATTGGATTAACATGAATCTCAATCATAATATGGGTTGCAATATGGGTGGAGAATGAAAGCTTTTTTTGGGCAACTACTTGTTATAGTCTTTAGAATTGGCATAACAAAGAGCTTTATGATGATAACATTGTTATACCGCATGATTCGACGAAGCAAGTGTCCATGATGATGAATAATTAGAGCAACATGAAAATAGCTTTAAACGTAATAGTTTAGCCTAAAAGCAACAGGTTATTTATTTAACGGGAGGCTTCTGTCATACCCCAATTTTTCCCTTCGATTAATAAATTGATACACACATCGTGACATTTGCATCAATTGCATATCATGATATGCATATCAGCTCACATAATGTTTAAAATTTTGACCAGATAAATTTTTGGTTCTATATCAGCTCACATAATGTTTCAAATTAGCGGGCTGAGAATTTTGATATCGAGATTATAGACGTTGTTTTATTGATTTAGAATTCTCGTAGTTTAGCTTGGCGTGCTTGTTTTATTTTTTTTACTCTGTTTGCAATCGCATTATGATCAACTTGAGCGTTTTCAACCGGGCATTTTTTTACCTCAATTTTTTAAAAAACCTGTATGTTTTCCAGAAATTTATTTTGCATTGATCATTTTGGTGCATTTATTATATTTTTCCGGGAGTTTTCGCACCTGATTTTTTTTATCCTTTTTTTTAGACAATATAATTAGAAAAATTGATTAGATTTAATTGAGTGTTTAGTTTGAATTTATGTTGCATTGTTTTGTTTTCAATTTAGTTACTAAATCAATTTTTAGTTTTAAAATAAAAAATAACAAGTGAAAAAACAAAAGAGAATACATCTGAAAAATCCAAAACTCACTCCACTCACCACTTGACATGTGTCCCTCTCTCATTTGGATAAGAAAAATACAAAAATGAAATGGGACCACCAATAAAAACGGATATGAGGACCGTCACACTTGGTGCTAGCTAGCATAATTCACAATCCTTATGTATTGTCTCATTAACAGGAAAGAAGGGAACGAGTCATAAAAGAAAATTGATAACGAAATAAAATTTTTTCAAAGGAAATTCAAACAAGGCCTTCAAACCAAATGAAGGAAGCTTGATTATCCCTTGAATAATCTTGATAATTGTTTGAGAATTAGGTGGAGATGGCATAGAAATAAACACATGAACCATACTTGAATCAACTTTGAAAACATGCACCAAACTTGAACTTCTCTTTATCAAATGATGTTAAATGAAGCTTGACATTAATGTGACCTAAGATTATAAGTCATGCCTTGGAGTGCAAGCTCTTGTGGACACTTGTTGACCAAAACTCCGAATTTGAGAATCCAAATCCTGATTTAGAAACCAAGCTTGATCCTTGGATTGCAAATCCTTATCTTGTACCATAAAAAAAATAATACATTTTTTAATTTTGAATAAGGTTAGAAAAGTTAGAATGAAAAGAAAGAAATAAAGGTAAAAATAAAACACAAATGGTACTTGGTGATCCCCCATAAAGGAAAGCCCAAAGAGGGGAAGGTTAGGAAGATGCCATGCTGGCGATCTTGGTTGAAACGTAAATGACATGATAGGTGGAATTTCAGGGGTAAAAGTTAGGGTATGATAGTCTCCACAGGGGTTAGTGCGATATCACTGTCGTTCTGCAGTTAACAATGTTTTAAGTAATGGTTTCAAAGGGTTTTTGATTGTGAAAAGTATCAAGTGCATTAAAACTATGTAACAACGGTAAAATATTCAAAAATTTAATATTTAAAAATCATGTCAATACTAGAGTTCATTAACTTATTTCATATGTATTCGATTAATTTAGCATGTGAACTTTATTTATAATCAATATAACCATGTATCACTCGTCTATATCGCTTATGTCTAACATGTATTACAAATTTTACTGTATTATTTAATCGAAGATCTCTCAACCTATTAAACAATACAAATAACATTATAACTTGACACAAGTGAATATCAAACTCCAAATCTACGTCTAGAATTTGTCCTTTGATAGATGAAAACTTAGGTCAAAACTTGAAAGATATTTCTCAATAATGATTTAAACCACAAATATAATATAAAAGAAAGGATAATCATCTATATTGATCATTAACTTGTTCACATACAAAGGATCATAATAAATACATACTAGTTAGATTAATTACATCTAATATTGACAAAAAGGGGTTTAGCTACACATCATGGTAAATTTCTTCAAAAGAAGTGTAAAGAGGTGAATAAGCATCCAATTTGAATAATCGACAAAGGTTATGTATTCAAGACTAAGATATTCTAATAGATATGCAAAAAATCAGCCTTGGGTCCTATTTATACACTTTTACAATTTTTTCCCTCGCACGACGAAAGATACTTTTTTAGAAACCCTTCATCTAGAAAAGTATCAAACCTCCCTTAGACAAATATCATGTCTCGCCTAGCAAAAAAAGCCTCGCCCGACTAACTCAAAACAATAAACCCTCATTGGGCGACCAAGACAAGTTTTTCTACTGGAATTCATTTATTTTGCCTCGCCCCTACTTTGCTGGAGCTCGTTGGGAGAGCTCCCCCATCCCTCGCCATGCTCGCTGCGAGAGCATGCTAAATTTTGCCATCCTTAGCTTTGTGCCTTATTATTTTTTTGTGCCTTAAATTTTTTTTTTCTTGCAACATTTTCTACACATTAACACACATATCAAAGAAACCAAAGATAGATGAAAATAATATGACATTCTAAGTTTTTATTTGCAAAATTTGTCACGATTGGCATTTATTACTATCTCTAGGTAACTGAAGTCTATCCAAGAATAATCACCAGCGTATGACACTACCATCAACATTTTTAATAGAAATGTTTCTACGCCTGCATAATGACTGAATAGAACAACCAGCCTCTTGCCCCCTTATTTCAACAACCACAAAATCCAAGTTGAATTATGCGCGAGCTAAACAAGCAGCATGAATTGCAGTTTTGCGCACCAGTGAATCACCTTCATCGAAAAAAGAAGCCAATCCTGACCCATCATTTCCAAGATGCACATTTGAAGAAGGGATAAGGAAGTTTGGTGCGTAGAAAAGGTATATGATTTCAATATTCTCCACTCCCTCTACAGATGAAGACTCTTTGCAGGTAAGATCAAGAGCGTTGTTTGCATGTGGATTTCTATATTAAATATGATAATATGCATGGGACAACAATGGTGTACATGTAAAGGAAAAATAGAGAATATAATCCCACAAATTAGGAGGCAAAAAAAGTTAAAACACAGAAAAAGAGATCTGATGTAAAGAGTGATGAAAAAGAGACGTTGGAGGAAAAGCCTACCTTTTGTAGAATGAAACTTCAAAAATATTTAAAGGTAGCAAGGTAGTCATCTAATTAAAAGTCGTAAGGGATCAAAATCATTTGAGCACCCTAGGTAGGGAAATCATGCCCTAACTTATACCCTTAGAGCCACAGATTCAGAAGGACGAGTGAAATGATTAGATGATGGGGGAAGCCTTTAATGCATATATTCCCTACTAACTTTGCAACTAAACCAAGGTGTTTCCATTTTTGACCAAAAATAAAATGTCATTCATGGTAGTCGACAACGACTTCTATGACTTCCCCGATTAATACTCGACTCTCAAGCCTTGGGGGAAATTGTTTAGGGCCGGCCAAAAGCCCAGGAAAGCAAAGGTCCAAACTAATGACAATCAAATTCAAACGACCCAAGGAATAAAGTTATCAAATGAGATATCAAAGTTACACTATTTCTGCCAAACAAATGACCTACCACCAAATGTTTTGAAGAAAGGTCCACTATTTCTGCCTTCAGCTCCTACATCTCTAACTTGTCCACACAACTGATAGTGTTAAACTCCATGTTACCAAACAAGTTATTCCACAACTTAAGAACTGATTTGAGAGCTTTCAACTTATACACCATGCAACCAGCATGCGCTCAACCCTCAAAGAATCCCAAAGCACCAACTCAAAATTAAGATCACCTAACGAAATATTATTAAAATAGAAGGATTTAGACCCCAAATTTGTGAAGGATGCTTAACTAATAGCCATCCATTATATGGATCCTGTCTTTGATAAAAAAAGATTAGAGATTAATTCAACCGACCAACCAATTGTTGTTATTATAATCTCATTTTGATTCATTATGAGCGAAAAACTTGGTTCTCCTTAACAAATTATTTTTTCATTTAAATAAAAAAACTAGTTGTTGAATCTAATAATGATAAAAAATAAAATGGATTTGACAGTGGGATATAGAAATATTAAGAATAATAATGGTATTTATGAGAAAATGGAAGTACAATATGAATAATATTAAGATGGTATTTATCGGAAAATGGAAGTACAATATGAATAATATTAAGATGGCGTGCAGTGATATTGATACTAATTAAGCTTAAAATATGTTAACATATTATTGATACTAATTAAGCTTAAAATATGTTAACATATTATTGATACTAATTAAGCTTAAAATATGTTAACATATTATTGATACTAATTAAGCTTAAAATATAACAGAATTTGAGCAGGTTGGAGAGGACGGTCGTGGACAATTGATATGAATGGATGCTGCGGCATCAAAACATAAATGGATCTCAGCTAAATAATTTCGATTAACACATACAAGCAATGGTTGAACGTGAACATCCAATTGTATTGCATTAATAAAATCTTGAGGTGGATGAGAAGTCCCATTAGGTAGGATATTTTGAGCAGCAAGCATAGACATGAGATTGTTTTGGTTGTATAGGCTAATGGCATGGTTAAAGTAGTTATATTGTGAGAATGGTGAGCAGCTGCCATGCTTATTCCACTCATAACCCCAAAATCGCACATTAGTGTTGCCTTTCTCAATGTTAGGCCACACATTTGAAAGTTGTGGCACCAGTGAATTAATCTGAGAAAAAATGGAGCAAATTAACAAGAAGAAAAAAAAACATTTAAATGGAGCAAATTATATAAATATTTATAAAAGAATTTGAAACAAAGGCAAATTTTATTTAAGTTAATAAAATCATAAAATTGTATCGGCCGATTCACCTGTCTAGGTTAATATGTCTCAAAATGTATTATGGAAAAGAATTGAGAAATAAATAGGAAAATCTGATAAAAATCCAGAGAGACGAGAAAATCAATCGTTCCGAAAATTCCACGAGTTCAATCATGGTTGTCTTCTATATACGTAGTAAAACAAAATTACATGGGTTGCTATTACAAAACATGTTGCACACGGTCTTGAGAGCACTGTGTTATTGTTGGAAGTATAGAAATATGTACTTGCTTTGTTTGGACTATGGAGCACAAGATGAATTTTTATGTTATAATTTGTAAAAAGTTATTGATCTCTCTCAACCCTAGGAATAAAGCATTTATAGACTTAACATTCGGGAAAAGTTATTTCTAAAGAACTAGTCCCCAAACTTAACTGGTCGCCCATATGGCGAGGGCTGGAGGAAACATGTCCTCCCCTTAATAGGAAATGTTGCTTTCCTTGGTCGGTGATTTTTGTGGTCACGTCTCCATATATGTCTGGTAACACTTTTTTTTTTGCTCTGGAAAGCTTAGGCGGCCCATGTCCTAGGTGCATTGGCCATACTGAACAAACTCAAGTGCTCATTGCATGATGTCGCCTTCCAACGTTATTCTTAGATCGAGTATGCTATAGAGTAGACTCTTTAAGGCCAAATATGTTATTCTAGTTCACATTCCCTCAAGCATGTGATCTAGAAGGTCGATATGATTAAGAAAATTAAGACATATAGCTAGGTTCAAAGTTCCTCAAATACGAGACCCAAAAAGGTGTGATGACGACCTACTCAGCCTAAGGGCTAATCAAACTTTATAAATAACTAAAGTAATGACTTTCACTCTCTCAATGTCCTCTTTTGAGTTTGTCTCCTCAATTTCTTATGAAATTGCCAATTGAGAAGGTTTATTGATCAGGTTTGGCCACTGTCTATGAAAGTGCTATTATAGATTTGTTTGTTTCCTTTTTAATAGCACTTATTTTTAATAAAGTGCTATCAAAATCATATTGTCAACCCTTTATAATAGCGTCCGACCATAAAGTGCTATTATAAATATGTTTGTTTCTTTTTTAATGGCACTTTTTTTAAAAGTGCTATTATAAACGTGTTTGTTTCCCTTATAATAATAACACTTTTTAATAAAGTGCTATCAAAATCACATTTTCTACACTCTATAATAGCGCCCGACAATAAAGTGCTATTATAGATGTATCTGTTTCCCTCCATCCTTGTCTGTGCGGGGAATAAAATCCCCAACTTCAAAGCTCCGAATAGATAATCCCCACAGGGATCCCCTTTAACTTATGCAAATTGACATCCCTAGATATATTTGTTAAGGGTAGTGAGGGAATTATCATATGGAAGCTTTGTATCGTAGATGAAAGAGTCATTGACATCCCTAGATATATTTGTTAGGCGGCCCATGTCCTAGGTGCATTGGCCATACTGAACAAACTCAAGTGCTCATCCTAAGGGCTAATCAAACTTTATAAATAACTAAGTTCCTCAAATACGAGACCCAAAAAGGTGTGATGACGACCTACTCAGCCCAAGGGCTAATCAAACTTTATAAATAACTAAGTAATGACTTTCACTCTCTCAATGTCCTCTTTATAAATAACTAGTTTTTTTGGTAATTAGTGACTTGTTCCAAACCTAGAGCGGGGTTTGAAAGCTTAGGGAATGGGCTTTTTGTGTGTTATTGGTCTAGGGAATGGATTCAACTTAATATAAAAATTGAAAAATAATAACAAGTGATTGGTACCACATGCATGAGTTGCATTAGAGTCTTGCATTGAGTCACATCAGGTATACGTTTGTAATATGAGATTATGCGAAGTATGTGAAATTGATAAATTGACGAATTATGGAACTGTAAGTATGTACTTGTGAATAGTATGGTCACTTGGGTGATAATTTGTTGATGAAGCTTTTGGAGTGTGAGAATAATTATATTATGTTTGTACGCCATACATTATATATTATCTTATGATTTCGATAATTATGTGAATTCTCACTCTTCTGTTCGGTGATAAGTATGATGTTTTCAACCGACCAAACAATTGTTGTTATTATAATCTGATTTTGATTCTTTATGAGCGTTCGTTAGCAAATTAGTGTTGCCTTTCTCAATGTTAGGCCACACATTTGAAAGTTGTGGCACCAGTGAATTAATCTGAGAAAAAAAACTTGTCAGCTCAACAATCATTTAACAAGAACAAAAATAACTTGTCAGCTCAACAATCATTTAACAAGAACAAAAATAACTTGTCAGCTCAACAATCATTTAACAAGAACAAAAATAACTTGAATGAAACTTACTAGAGAGCTGTTAAACGATTTAGCACAACTATCAGGATGCGGCTTGACAATATTAGAAGGCCACAAGCCGTGTATCGTAAATGTAGTTGGAAGTTGAGCATTACATTTTTTAGCCGGGTTCATGCATGCACCGTTTGGCCACTGCTGAGCATAAGCGTAGTAGTCCAATGGATGAGCGGGTTGTGCAAGGAAAAGAGCTACTACTGCACTCAATATGCTAATCATTTTTTCTATATGCACAAACTATAAAAAACTGTCTTGTATATATAGCATTCATTTATTTTATTTTTTATTTTTTCTCAACTAAAATTCATAGTAAAAACGATATTAGAAATGCCCTTTTATTTTTGTCAAGTTAGGGGAAAATTCATACAACTAGCATTCATTCAAATGTAGCTATCATTAGCATTCATTCAAATGTAAAACCAACAATTAATTTACGACATTACAAATATTAATTGTATCTTTGCATTTTTCTTTATTTATTTGTTTTTGTAAACTTGCTACACAAATTGCTACTAATTCTTTTTTAGACTAAAATTTATACAACTAGCATTCATTCAAATGTATAACGCAACAATTCATTTACGATATTAGAAACATATATTATATCTTTGCTTCTTCCTCTTTTATCTTTTATTTTCCTATTAATTCATTTTTAGCCTAAAATTCATACAACTAGCATTCATTAAAATCTAGAATGCAACAATTAAACTCCTACAATTAAGTTCATACTAATTTCAAGAAATAATTAAATAATTTAAATATTTATAAAACAATTTGAAAGAAAGGCAAATTTTATTTAAGTTAATAAAATGTTAAAATTGTATCGGCCGATTCACCTGTTGAGTTGAGAAGGTGACACCTGTCTAGGTTAATATGTCCCAAAATGTATTATGGAAAAGAATTGAGAAATAAATAGGAAAATCTAATAAAAATCCAGAGAGACGAGAAAATCAATAGTTCCGAAAATTCCACGAGTTCAATCATGGTTCTCTTCTATATACGTACTAAAACAAAACTACATTGATCGGTGATTTTTGTGGTCACATCTCCATATATGTATGGTAACACATCTTTTGTGCTCGGGAAAGATCGGGCAGCCCATGTCCTAGCTGCATTGGCCATATTAAGCAAACTCAAGTGCTCACTGCATGATGTCGCCTTCCAGTGTTATTCTTAGATTAAGTATGCTATAGAGTAGACTCTTTAAGGCCAAATATGTTATTCTAGTTTATATTCCCTCAAGCATGCGATCTAGCAGGTTGATATGATTAAGTAAATTAAGACATATAGCTAGGTTCAAAGTTCCTCAAATACGAGACCCAAAAAGGTGTGATGACGACCTACTCAGCCTAAGGGCTAATCAAACTTTATAAATAACTAAGTAATAACTTTCACTCTCTCATTGTCCTCTTTTGAGTTTTTCTCCTCACTTTCTTACGAAGTTTATTCTTCTGATTTCATGTCCATCTTCATCATTGGGGTATTTATACCCATATCTCATTCGTTTGTTATTTTTCGTTGCTCATAAATGTCGATTTCTAGATAGTTAGACGAACATGTCTACGTAATAAAACCTAATACTCAAAATGGAGTTTGGAAATGTGTAGGCATTGCATGGAAAATTAGAAATTGTCGATTGAGAACGTTTATTGAAACCTGGTAGAGTTAATGTTTAGGAGTTATGATCTCAGTTATAATAGATCTGATTCAAGAAACCATTGTGAAAGAGATAATGACCTTCATTTATCATGTTTTTTCCTATAATAGGAAGGATCTTCAATGACGGATAATAATGCAAGTCGTGGGGGAATTGAAGACTTCCAGAATCACTATACTAGTGATGATGTAATGGTTGCATTTCTCAAGGGTTTAGATATATCTAGGGATGCCAACGGGGCAGCGAATGCATAGAGGATGCTTCTCCACTCCCCGCCCCCAATATTTTTGCCATCCTCGTCCCTATTCCTGCCATGGGGGAAATATTTCCCATCCCCACAAATCCCCACAGAGAATCGAGGATCCACGAAGATCGAATCATTAAAAAACCTATATATGTTTTTTTTATCAAAACTATGACACTAATTTAAAACATATATTTTGCATTTTCTTAATAAATAAAAACACATCTTGAATCAATAATAAACAAATGAAAAATCACTTGCAGTTACAAAAACCTAACCACTAATTTATTAATTGAACAAAAATCAACTTGGTAATTAAAGTATATTAGAGTTGAAGAGTAATTAGCATAAGCACAATGAACAAATGAGAGTGGTTGTTTTGATGATGATGATGAGAATATAGGAGATAGGAAATGGAAGAGATAAAGAGAATTGAGAAAAGAGGAAGAGGAAAGGGTGTATACATTGTATGTATTGGGTGCACTTTTCTAGGTTGAGGTACTTCAATGGTGAACCAATACAATATATAACAAAACAAAAAAATTATCCACTTATGACTCTTTATTTCCTAATATATTAATTAATTTTTTATAAAATAAACATGCCAAATTATATAATTATATATTATATAATATAAAGTTAAGTATTATGGTCGTAATCGGGGAATCCACGGGGCGGAGGGTAATTCTCCAATCCCCACCCCAAAGTGTCATCGAGGAAAGTTTTCCCTCCATCCCTGTCCCCGTGGGGAATAACATCCCCAACTTCAAAGCTCCGAATAGATAATCCCCACAGGGATCCCCGTTAACGGATGCAAATTGACATCCCTATATATATTTGTATCGTAGATGTAAAGGTCAATATGGAGGTGCCTCCTAGATAAGAGGAAGAATTATTTCATATGTACTTCCCTGTTATTTATGACTTAAATATGTTAATTTTTTAACATTATGACATTTATGAGACATAAAAATTAAACTTTTAGGTGAAAAAGATAGGTTAATAACAAAATAACTTACAAAATTAAGTGAATTTAAATAAACGAGTAAATAATTGTTTGTTATATTTTCTTGAAAATACAAATTAGGTTTTTATTTTAATGAAAAAAATATAAGAGTAAAACTAAATTAAGAATCCTATGACCAAAAATCTCAATCTTTTTACTACGAAGTGTACATCCTAGCTAGTCATAATCATGGATCCTTTTGGAAAAATATTTCGACAAGGCTAACTCCAAGGTTGATGAGTTTTTGAGCCTCTAATTACATGTTAACATGCTCTTTTCAAACCCATCTTATGAATTACTAATTTGAGAAAAAATGTAAGAGTCAACTTCAAAACATAGGTGTTGTACCTCGTAAAATACGATGCTTCGCGATGGACATGGAAACAAATTAGTTTGAACAAAGTCGCCACTGAACTTTATTCATCCCAATGAAGGAATAGGAAAATATCGATAAAACCTTTAGGAAAAAAATGGTCGTCGCAACCATATTCATGTTCGGGAGTCGATTACGCAAGCGGGAGGTATTAGCACCTCTCATGTCTGTTGTACTCAACGGGAACTGTTGTATCCCAAAATTTGACCAATCCTTTTCTTGCACTCGGCTTATGTTTCATTTTATTTTCGCATTTCTGCATATCATAGCATTGGTTCTTGAGGCAGAGGATTAAGGTATTTTTGTGGCTTAGGGTTCTTTTTAGTGCAAGAGACTGAACAACGAGCATCAGAAGCTCCGATATTTATTTTGCCCGACAATCAAGCGGTCAATTTTATTTTATTTTTACAGGATAATTTTCAGCTCAGGCGGCGACACTCAAGCTATCTCAAGCATTCTCACAGTTTTGATATTCAAGGGCAAGCTTCAGAGGCTTAACGAGGCTCAGAACGGGTGAAAACAAAAAAATGTGCATGCCTCCCTCCAGAAGGCGCCAAAATTCAAAATTTTAAGGCGTTAACTGGTTAACCAAAACAAAATTAGAACAAATTCAATATTTCAAAGGCGTTAACCGATTAACCAAAATGGTTAACCGGTTAACCAGGGCAAGTTTTGACCTGCATGTGAGTTTTCAAAGGCAGCCACTTTTGGGGTCCATTTTGATCACTTGTGAATTTTATTTTACACCAGAAGACGGATCTAGAATCACTTCGAATTTTGATTAATTTTCAAAATTAATTCAAATTCCCTCCAATTTTCCATTCCTAATCTCATTCCAATTTTCATAACCACACTCCAAACCACCATTCTACTCCTAACCAAGAGCATATTTAAATGAATTGGCTCCAAACCTCACACAATCAATCCTCATAATCTCATTTCATTTTCAGAATTCACTCTCACTCTTGAAATTTTCTCTCAACTTTTTCACTCTGAAACTCCATTAGAGCTCTCACTTGAGTTCTTTGATTCGTCATTGGAATCGTTGAATTGTAGAGCTAAACCTTCATCCTTCATCCTTATTGTCTTCAATTCTCCATTCAATTTTCGTTTGGATTTGGATCTGATCTTGGAAGTTGATTTGGAAGAGCTTGTTTGGATTATTTTTGCTTAATTTTGGTTAATCTTCACTCCTACAACAAGAAAACACTTGGATCTTGAAGAATCTCTGGGTTTCTTTGCTTGAATCTACTCATTTTAAGTGAATCAACACTCACCAAAGCAAATCTCCGCTTTGTAAGTTAGAAATTCTAGAACCGATTCTGTTTTTGAGCTTATTTGCATAATCACAATGTAGATCTTCGTGTTTTAGTTAATTTTGTTGATTTTGATCTATATGATTTGTGATTTCAATGTTTGAATGTGTTTACATGTTGTTGGATCACTGATTACTAGTGTTAAATTAGTGCATAATTGATTACATGATAATTTGGATGATTGCACATTGGATTAATTGCTGAAAGTGCTTTTGAGTTGCTGTTGTTCTGCTTCTCGTGTAGTGTTAATCGGTTAACAAGTTGCAGTACAAACTGGTTAATCGGTTAACTAGTGTGAATTTTCAAATTTTTTTAAATGGTTAATTGGTTAACCAATAGTGTTAACCGATTAACACTGAACCAAAATGCCATTTTTGTTTGTTTTCAAGCATGTTTTGATGTCCTCTCACTTTGAATCTTCATGGATTGATATGATGCATTTGGAGTGAGCTGTTTTGGATATGTGTCGCTGTTCTTGATTGTTTAATCTTGATTCTTTGACACGTGTGGTTCGGTTTCCACTTGAATGCATACTTTGTGGATGTTGTTCAAGTGATGATCATTTGCTTTGCTTGAGTTTGAAGAATTGTTTGGTTGAGATGTGCTTGTGGTGGCTGCTGTCC